AGCTCTCTCACCCTCTGCACAGATTTACGGTTTGTTCTCAGTGAAGGGCGATCCTCCCTAACAACATAGGCCACTCTCCTTTCTCAAGAGGCACAAGTCAGTTTCTTCTAGAACCCTGGCCATCTTCCTTACTACACACTAAGTCCCTCCCTCCAACAGCTGGAAGGAGAATCCGGATGGCTGCCAAGGACACAGGAGGGCCTCGACCCTCCCTCTATCTACAATCCTGAGACGGAGGCTCAGTGACCTTTAGGATGACAGCAAAGCCACATGCAACATGGCCTGTTTCCATCTGGGCCCCCTGATATCCTTACTCACCTACCCAAGCCTAACAAGTCACTGAAAGTCTCTGAGAGGGCCTTGTGAGCCCCCTTGCTACTTCTTAGAAATGCTTTGAATCAGTCTGACGTAGACACTTGTCCCTTCTCTTCCTGCCCCGGGGAAACTGGACACCGGATTGCTGCAGTGACTAATCTGGACTGGTTTTTTTTTTTTTTTTTTTGAGACAAGGTCCCATGTAACCCAGGCTGGTCCCAAACTCTATCAACTTCTGATTCCCTCGCCTCTAAGTCCCAAGTGCTAGGATTACAGGCTGGGCCATAGGGCCACTTGCATGCTGGGCAAAGCACTCTACCCAGTGAGCTACAACTGTTTTTGGTCTGTCCTTAACAACCTCTTAGGATTATATCCTAGTTGGCCTTTAGGCTTTAGCATATAAAACAGCATGTTGTGTAGAATAGATATCCAACACAAATTCCTCAAATGGATGTAGACACGCAGACCCTTTTAAAGAATATCATCCAGTCCCTTATGCCTTTCCAAGCCTCTGCTTTGCTATCTGAGCAAATATAGTAACTCCCTTCAGGGCTAAGAATGATCTGAGTAATACAGGAAGAAACTGCATGGTATACTATGTAGCATCTACTAGACACCCAATAAAATGTTGTAATAACACTGAAATTGGGAACTCAGGATATTCTCAGTTGATAGTATGTTTACCTAGCATACATGAAATCCTGGGTTTGGTTCCCAGCACTGCATAAACTGTGTGGTAGGGAATCCTGCAATCCCAACACTAAGAGGGTAGAGGAAGAAGAATCAAAGTTCAATGTTATATAGTTGGTTTGAGGCAAGTCTGGGCTACATTGGACCTATTTGAAAAGAGCAAACAAAAAGCACACAGAAACCGAACAGCAAATTCATACCGAAACTTTTGTCTACACACCCTAAGGGTGGGAAGCCTGTGGGTTCTGCTATACGGTTCATACGTTTAAAAGTATCTTTCTTCAGAGCCCACCCGTGTCTCAGATGTGTCAGAGCTCTGTCCCTAAAACTACATTAACAAGGTCATGGTAAAGTAAGAAGTTTCCTATCGAGTGATGCAGAGTACTGATTTGCACCCAGGAGAAAGCTCATTGGCCCTTGGCTTCCTTGATTCCAATGTCCCTCCACATCCACAGGCTGGAGTCCTTGCCAGGAGACAGCTACAGCTGGCCTGGCCCAGAAGAGAGCGTGCTGGACTTCAGGTCTTCCTTTCTGGTTTCCCTTCCTCAAACCTCACTTTCCACTCCCCCTGATCAGACTAGGATCTTCTCCACAGATTCTTCCCCCTGCACTCCTGGGAGCCCCAGGCCCTCCTGGCAGTGACATCTGTTCTGCATCTGGAATTCCAAGTCTAGTTGCTGTACCTCAGGGCCTTTGGAGGAAGTAGGAGGTAGGTGAAAAGGGATTCCATATCCTTGGACCAACCAGAGAGAAGACTCAGGCCTAAAGCTGCTAACCTTTCTTATAGAAGGCAGACATACAGAGACAATGAACTTGTTATGTTTACACCAAATCCCTGGGAAGAGGGGCTGGTCTGCCTTACGAAGAAGAGCCAGGAGACTGGTCTAGCTCCAGATCAAGTTCTTAATTGCATAACTCTAGGCACTTCCTCAGTTTTCTCATCTGTAAAATGGACTCATAGCAAATTCCACTCTCTTTTTTGAAGTGAGTAAGTTGAGTTACTATAGCTTAGGCTGTCACTGAACTCAGCAATCCTCCTGCCTCAGTCTTCCAAGCACTGGAGTTACAGATAGGCATCATGATGCCTAGCTTCCTACATTTCTTTGAATGGTGACATTATATGATGCTATAATCATGAGATTCCTTAGCTTGAAGAAAGTACCTTCAGGAAAAATTTTATTTATAAATATTTGATTAATGAGGTCATGAAAATACACACAGGCTCACAGGTCTAGGTAAATTACTGCAGAGTCACTACTAAAGCCAGGTGGTGGTGGCACACTTTCAGCCCTCAGGAAGCAGAGGCAGGCGGACCTCTGAGTTGCAGGACAGCCTGGTCTACAGAGTGAGTTCCAGGACAGCCAGGACTACATAGAGAAACCCTATTTTGAACTCTCTCAGCCCCCAAAAGAGTTACTATTAAAAGAAGGTTCCAGAGCTGGAGAGATGGCTCAGAGGTTGGTTAAGAGCACTGGCTGCTCTTCCAGAGAACCAGGGTTTAATTCTTGGCACCCACATGGCAGGTCACAACCATCTGTAACTCCAGTTCCAGGGGATCTGACACCTTCACCCAGATATAATATACATGCAAGTAAAACATCAATGCACATGATATACATACATACATACATACATACATACATACATACATACATACATGTGTGTGATAAATATATATATATTTTTTAAAGTTTCTAGTGTTGGTCCTGGTGGCAAGCCTCTAAAATGGGCCTCTGAGTGTCAAGGCTGAGAAAGGGATGGTGGAGAGGGGGCTTCCTAGGTGAGGAAAAGTATCTTATGTTCTCAGAGCTCTCTGTGTTCCCAAGCCCCAAATAATAACCGGAGTTAGAAGCCTCACTTCATTGCATCACGCTAAATCTGGCTGGAGTTTAGAATATGGGGGTGGGAGTTGGGCAGGTGGGGGAGGGGTGGGCCTCGTGTCCAGAGATGAGGCTAAGGAGGAAGCAAGTCCCAGCTCACAGTGCAGTGCCAGTCCCACCCAGGAGTGAACTAAATCGCCTCCCAGCGTTGGCACCCCCTGCTTGATCTGAAAGACTCCTCCCTTTGCGGGGCTGGCTTTTCCTCTGTCCATCATTTTCTTCAGAACCTTTCCTGGTCTTCCCAGTTTGGCTCAGGAGCCTCTCTTCTGCAGTACCTTGCCAGTCCTGGCCCCTTGCCCTGACCCTAAGACTGACGGCCTGGGTCTAGGACTTATTCACAACATTCTGAGCGTCAGGCACATGTTAACCTATAAAGAGCGCTCAGCAAAGACTGTGAAAAGAAAGGATGACCTCCACTCTCTAAGGGTGTCTTCAGACTGCAGAGGTTTACACACTCAAAGGAGGTCAACCCAGGGCAAGAATAGTAGTTGTTGTACCCAGTTAGGCGGCAGCCAGGAAGAATCCCAGTGCCCGCTCTTCACACTCTGTGCACTGGGGAGAAGAGTCCAGTCTCCCAACTCTCTTCCCGGTGTCCGGCCTGAAGCCTCAGAAGCATTTAATAAAGCACGGGTGCGGTTGCCAGCCAGGATCTCGCGTTCCTGGAGCTTTGGGAAGAACAGGAGGAGGAGGAGGGGAGGTGCAACTATTCCTTAATCCTTTGGGCTCCGCGAAGACAGACACCTCTCTGACATTTCCCCGCGCCGCGTTCACCTGACAACCCCGGGGCCTCCCGCTTCTGCGGCCCAGCCCCATGCACCGAGCTTCTACCGGCTTCCAGCCGGGTCCACCGCCTCGGAGGGAAAGGGGCGTGTCTTGCGGGGCGAGCTAGGGTCCGAGCTGTTTCCAGCACTCTCCCACCCGCTGTTTTCCTGGAGATGGGCCTGGGGTTGGCCCAGTGGAGGTTCCTTCCCCCCCCGACACACACACCCCCGCCGCTCTCCCTGCCTCCCTCCCACGTGGCCTGGCCCAGTCTCTCTGGAAAGCCGCAGCAGCTGGAGAAAAATCCCCCTCCCCACCCCCACTGCCAAGTCCCTCCCCGACTCGCCCCGGACACATCCTTAACTCCCCCCTCGGCAGGGAAGGCAAGAAGTAATCGAACAAAGCGGGCAGCCCATCCCCCTCCAGGCCCTACCACCTAATCTCCCTTGGGCTGTGGTCCCCAAACGCACACCCCACTGAGAGTGAGAGGGTCGGGGGTGGTAGAAACAGCTTTGGCATACACACTTGGACACTTCGTTCCCTCCCCCCGACCCCCCTCAGCCCTTTCTTTGGTGTGGACAATTGTGATCCTTATCTCTGACCCTACCCAACACTAGGACCTGGGGACTGGAGGGGGCCTTGCTGACCTCGTCCACGCTTCCCTTATCCGCCCTTGGGGGTGGGGCAGGAGTGACACGCGTCCCATCCAGAGAGCGAGTGTTGGACGCGTTCAGCAAAGCAACTGGTTTCCTGCCCTTCCCCCAGCACCCCCTCCGAACCCCGGGTTTGGGTCCACAACACCCCTACATTCCCCTACCTCCCTAGCTGGCCCCAGGGGCCACACCCATTGGGCAAAGTTGAGTGTGGTTTTTCTCACCGCCGCCCCCACCAAGAGCAAGGACACTCCCCAAAAGCCAAGGCCAAATATTAGCTCAGTCCCATCCAGTTTACACACGCACCCGACGCAAATAGAGGTGTAAGTGTACACTGCCGCCCCGCCCGCTCTCTCGGGCACACTCGCGACCGCGAGACGCGTGCGGGCAGGGGAAAAGCATGTCCCGCTTGGAGCCACCCGCGCCGCAGCCACCCGCGCGCTGGCGATGCCACCCGGCTCCTTAGGCACGCGCTGTGGACACGTCCCCCCGCAGGACACCCCCACCCCGACACACGCACACACACACATGCACACCTCACAAGCACAAGAGCCACGCGCAGGCAGGGGGACACGCACGGTGCCAGGCTGTGCACTGCAAGGACACACACACCCCCTGGGAGCAAGTCCCCGCAGCCCCCGGAGCGCACGCATCGCGCGCACCGGGGACGCCCACTCGCGACTGCGGCCACTCGGGTTCTTACCGCGCGCGGACAGCAGGCAGAAGGTCAGCGCCAGGAGCCCGCGGCCCGTGTCCGCCCACGCCATAGGGCCGGGCTCGGGCCGCTGCCGCCGCGTCCAGGCGCCTGGGCCGCCGCCGGGGG